CTACTTCAGAGAATGTCGGGAAGAAATCGGATTCACCGAGAGATTCGAGACGGTTTTCATGATCGGCGTGGTTTTTCTCCCGAAAGACCTTTTCTTCGAGTCCCTCCATTGATACAGCCTCCACCTCCATCTTTGTTAGAAGATCTTCAAATGCAGGAGGTTGAAATTAGGAGGCTTTTGAATGATAATCATAGATTAGCCGAAGACCGAGGGCTTCTGCAACGAGAACTCAGTGGTGCTAAAGAAGAGCTTCACCGAATGAATCTGATGATTTCTGATCTTCGTGCTGAACAAGATCTGCAGTCGAGGGAGTTTAGTGAGAAAAGGCATAAACTTGAGGCCGATGTTCGTGTTATGGAGTCTTATAAGAAGGAGGCTTCACAGTTGCGTGGCGAAGTTCAGAAGCTAAATGAAATTAAACGTGAACTAAGTGGTGATGTTCAGATACTTCGGAAAGATTTGGTTAAATTGCAATCAGATAACAAGCAGATTCCAGGTTTGAGAGCTGAGGTTAAAGACCTTCAGAAGGAGCTTATGCACGCTAGGTATAATATTGAACAATTCTCGCCTTTTATCAGTCATCTGGTTTAGGTCGTGTTTGCTAAAAGGAGTTTTTTTTTTTTCTTTTGGACCAGAGGTGCGATTGACTATGAGAAGAAGGAAAAGTTTGAGCTTATGGAGCAGCGGCAGACAATGGAAAAGAACATGGTTTCTATGGCGCGTGAAGTTGAAAAGCTACGAGCAGAACTTGCTACTGTTGATAGTAGGCCGTGGGGTTTTGGTATGAACCTCGATCTTTCTTGGAAACATTTGATATTTTCATTTAAGTCGCTGACTGCTTTTTGTGATATGTTATGTATCCAGGTGAATCATATGGGATGAATTTCAACAGTATGGATGGCGCTTTCCGTGGTTCTTATGGCGGAAACGATAGTTTTTTGGTACTCATGCTTACATCCTTGTGTAATTTGATGTATTCTTGTGGACTTTTACCTTGACATGCCTGTATTATTTTCCTTGTTTCTTAGGGATCTTCGGATAGGAGTCAATATTACAGCCATGGGTCTGGCTCGCTGAAGAAACCTCGCTTGGATCGTCATTGAAAATCTATAAATGATCTGTGGAAAAAATGAGGTAACGTCTAAATAGTCCACTTCGCAACAATCCTCTGGTTGTTTGTGGGTTTACATCTAAAGTGTTAGTTTCTCTGCTCTCTCAATAAGGCTGTATTCTTTTCCTTGTTTCTTAGGGATCTTAAATGGCTGATTTATTTCGTATATTTCGGTAATTTGACTATTTGGTTCTTTCTGTTTGCTATTAGTTGTGTCCTATTTTCCTTCTTATTCTACTGCTCGTATTCTTTACACCCTGATTTTGATCATTTGTAAATGATAATCCCTCTGATAGAAAACCCTAAAGGCTCAAATAGTCTACCGTTAGTGCCAGTAATTTTGAGAAAATAGACTGGCACTAACAAAAGGAGGGGACTCTATCAGACATTCCCCTCCATTTCTTCAAGCCCACACTCCTCCCTTTTCATGTATCTTATTTTGTTGAGCTGACACCTCTCAAAGGGGTTATAGGCTTTAGATACTTGGTCTCAAGAGAGATTTTGTCATTTGAGTTAAATTTGTTGACTGTGGCCACATTTTTGGAGAAACTCTAAGAGTTGCAATTGCTTGTTGCTGGAAGCACAAAGAGATAGCGTTACCACAGATCATTGTTATTGTGTGGCGGTTTTATGTATGTTCCAACTAGATTTAAGGGATATAGGAGCAGCTCAGTTAAGATGTAACGTAAACACTGGAAGGGCATTAATTTCTGGATTGTGTCATGAGGAAGCGTCTTCTCATTGAAATCTCTTAAGCTTGCTTGTTCAAGTTCATATCTGTTGTGTTATGATGATTCAACTAGCAAAGGGAATGAGGCACAATGCACTATTGGAGGAACAGATATATATAGATCATCTGTGGCCATCTGTCCATAATGACTCATTCTGGGATTTACCGAGCACGCCCTTCTGGGATCAGGCCAATAGATATCCATCACCAGCAGCAAAGACCACTATTTGAGGTTCATCTGGATCAACATGAGTGGGATCTTTCATTTCAAGAAAATTTCCGGCAAGGATTGTTCGAGCAGGGGCTTCCATAGGCGATCAGCATCCTTAGCGACTGCATCAGGACAGAATCTAGGTGCTGTAAGTGGTCTTGCACTAGGTCAGGGTCTTGAGTTGCAGGACCCTACTGTCGACATGCAATCTTCTGATGGATTGGGAGCTCCTGGTTTCCACTATCAGAGTCCTCTTGTGCCATTCGGTGAATCACATTTTTCATGGTTGGAACCCATGGAAGGACGCTGGTCTGGAGCTGATGCATAGCTGACTGGGGTGGATCTCAGTTCCATAGATTAAATATCGATTCTGAACAATATCAGATGAGGTCAAATGGTAGGAGGCAAGGTGAAGACTCCAACTCATGAATGGCAGATGGATCTATAGAAGACAAATCAAAGCGACCTTTCATGGAGTTGCTTCATCAGACATATGGTACATGTTACTGTGAGATGGGAACTATATCCCTAGATCTGAGTTCGGATCATTGCATTGTAATATTCCTTGCTTTCTGGAATCAGCGATGGCGGGCAGACACCTCATAACGATTCTATTAGGACATCATTGATGGAGCGTGCAGAATTGTTCCATGTTAATCTGAAATGTCCAGGGTAGACGTCCTAATGCAGAATCCTATGTCTTTGTTTTGGAGTTCGCTTTGGAGCTTTCACGATGAGCAGGAGAGAAAATCTTCGTTCAGAGGTGCAGTGAAGCAAATCAGATAGGATTTTTTGGTGGTGGATCCTAGGAGTAGCAACTGTTTTTGGGTTCCCTTCCCAGTTCTCGAAGATATTAACAGCTCTGTTTTCGATGAGGCACAAGCTGCTTTGTTAGTGGAATTTGTTAGCAAGTTTGGCCTACTCAGCAGCAACTTTCTTATGAAGAAAGCTATAGTCTCAAAGTACCTTCTCCATCTCCTTTGAGTTTTGCTGCCTCAGATTAAGGAATTTTTCCATATACAAGAGATTGCCAAGGGCCTCGTGGTTATGTTGATGCTACAGTAGCTTTTCGGGTATGCACGTTCCAAGGATGTTGATGTGCCTTATGAAAAGGATCTTCGTACCAAGCCTGGAGACAGGTATACGATCTTTCCAACAAATATTTCTTTACGAGGAAGTCTTATTTATAGTCAGCTTATATCTTCTAGAGGTTAGCTACCATTTTCATTTGGCATATAGGTGTTCATAGACGTCAATAAATTTTCATTGCAACTTTTGCATATAGTTTATATACACTTTCATGTTGTCTCATGTTTTTATCCGATTTTTGCCACTTGGTTCTTGGATTCTCTTAAGGGCTAAGCCGCATTTTCTAGAGGATTTGTGTGACTTGTCTGAGTTTCTCATTAAAGTATTCATGGAAATGAATTGCTGGACTGATGGAGAAGTAGCTGCTCGTGAAGATGGTTTACTACATTGGTTTCTTGTGTAGCATGGAAGCAAAGTCCTTTAGAATTGACTGGAAAAGGATTATCTTAACCATGTTAACCTTTTGGAGACTGCTAGAGATCTATAGATGAGAATAAAGACAAAGCTTTTGTAGATAAGAAATACGTAGGACTAGGTCACTTAATCCTTGAGTTGACTGCTACTTGCTGTAGTTTTGAGATTTGGGGCTTTATATTGACCTGAAACTAGATCGGTGTAGGTTTGACCAAGATGAAAGGTTGTAGCCCATATAAATCTAGAGGTACTTAGTTTGCTTTCCTCTTGCTTTTCCTAAGACTTTGAGAACCTTCCAGCTTAAGAGTGCGTTAGAAACGATATACATCTTCAGAAAAATTTACTCATGGCTCCTTATCAAAGACAGATGGATCAGTATTCTCTGCAGATCAGCAGAATGCGGAGGAAGAACAGAGTTGTTAATCTAAATCTGGAAGAGGCTTGGTACAACGCTGCAAAAATTCAAGCCTCTAGTTGTGAATAGACGGTACTACACGGTTCAAGATGGGAGATTTTTTCTCAGCCATTTGACGAGCGTACACACGAATAAGAATGGATGGTCCTTCAAGTTCCATACCGCTTTTACCTCTTAAGACATAGATGTAGAGATATTCTGTCTGTTGTGTCACATAGCATATATGCTTTCACATATATTTTCACTATTGAAAGTTGGTCTATAGAGGTTTGATTATTCTTCTCCTTGTTGCAGATAACAAAGCTTGAAATAGACAGAACCCGAGACCAATCATCTACTTGTTTGATTGGAACCAACAAAGGAACCAGAATGGTTATAACAGAAACCAGTAAGTGTGATAATCACTAAAAAGCATCCTTCTCGTAGTCAACATTTACATGCACTTATCTACATGATCAACAAGTTGAATGTTATATATATACATATGTTTTCTGATCCTGACAATTTTCTTTCAGGTGGTTAGAACAGGAGGCAACATCTTGGACCTCTTTCCTTTCACCAACGTCTTGGTATCAGGAAAAACTCCATCACCGACTTCCTCAACCGCACCATCTCTCGTCACACTAATTGGGTACACGACCAAATGGACACCGTTCATGTCCACAACCTTGTCTCTGCTGTAAATCTCCCACATCCTCTCTCCAATTGTCCGCAACCCTCGGACGCATTCCAAACTCTCTGGCTCCAATGATGATAACTCATTCGCCGTGATCTGGCCTCCGCTATGCTCGTACCAGAGCGATAACCTGTATGCTTGGATTTCATTGGTGTTGGTTGTATCGGTCTGGTAGCAACCTATTGCAATCTCGGTGTCGCGAGAACCATCCATTGATCTCTGGTTTATATTGGCTGATCCTATCAAAATGTAAGCGTCGTCCACTACAAAATAGACAACAGTCACTTTGATCTTCAATCTCACTTGCTTATAATTCATGAAAGTTTTTGACGAATCCTTAATACTTTTTTAAATTTCAGATCGGGAATTGTGGATATTCTTTACCTATCATAAGCTTGGAGTGGACATAGACCATAAATCTCCGGTTCTTTTGCGCGTTCCAGTATTGAGTTTTCGGATGCGGCGATGAACCCGCTTCAAACTCTCCGTTTTTCTTTTCTTCTCTGTTTGCTAGACAGAAGAAGTTTAGATAATCCCTAGGATGTGATCCTTCTCCGGTTTCCCATATCGCCTCTCCGATGATCCGATACATCATCGACATCGTTTCTCTCGTCCAATGAAGCATCTCTTCAACCGTTTCGCTTTCCGGTGGCCCTTCTGGCCACATCGGTATCACTATATACACCGCAAATCTCTGCTTTTCGCGTATCTTAGCAGCAATCTTTAACGCTATTTCGACAGGTATCAAGTTTGTGCATCCGCTGCAGATTCTATACACACGAAGAACGAAAAAACTAAATCAGATTAGAATTCGTCTATAGATTTTCAAAATTCTGAAAAAAATAAGTTTTCGTACTTGTCGTTCTTGTTCTCCCAATGTTCACAGCTTCCCATGAAATACTGATTTTCAATATATATAAACCTATCAGCCTTTCTAATCGCTGCGACGTAGCTGTCATGTACGCTCTTCTCGACCGGTAAACCTCTCGGCATCTCTGTGGCTGACACATGATCTATCGATCTCAGAACTTGAACATTCCATTTCCGATCAGGTTCCTCCGTTGGTCCGGTTCGATTCACCAAGTTTCTAATCCCTGAAGTGTTAACCAACACTGAAGGATTACACTGTTTCGTCCATCTCTGTTCAAAGTTCTTCAAAACATCCCATGCCACTGCCCCGACCACACACACGTGACAATCGTGCCATGGCTCTCTAGGTCCACCTTTGCTCAGCTTAGCTCCGGCGACACTCGTCTGATAAAAATCATCCGCCGTCTTTATTGTACCGAATAGAGAATGCTCCTCCGTGTCATATCGGCCATCGCAAAGATCGAAACCGCCGAGAAAGCTCATGATTTCTCGTTCCTTAGTGTTCGTGTTTGCTACACGCGTGTCCACTGTGATTGTCTTTTGGTGGTGTGCGAACGCCGTAGGGAGCTTCCTGTGCGATCTTGGACACAATCTACAGACAACATTTGTGTCTTTGAAATACGCAAGAGCTGTTTCGTCATTTGTTCGCATTAGACCTTTGTTCTTGATCATCGGTAATGACGTCTCATCGTTCCACAACATTACTCTCACCGCTACGCCTTCCTCTCCTTTCCGTTTCAAAAGCTCACCGATCGTCACTCCAACTGCGTGTGGGATCTCAGTTTCATCGTCGCGTACGAGAACAAGATTAGGGTTTAGTGCCCATCCTGCGATGTAAACCAAATGCCTAGCGCTTTCAATCGCTTTGTAAACATCTTCCCATAGATTTCTTGCGTTATAAGAAACATCACGAGCCCTAGGATCAAAAGTCGCCTTGTGGTGCGCATCTTGATACAGTACGACTCTACAATTCGATCTCTGAGGGAAGTTCGCGTTCCTAATACCTTGAAAAGACTCTCCTTCAAGCGTTTTGCACCATCCCGGTTCTAAATAAGCCGGTCTGAACCACATCATAAACTTGAGCTTCAAGTTAGGTTTCGTTGAACCATTTTCTGCAACCAAAGGGAAGAAACCATTGATAACTGCTGGATCAGAAGTCAGAATCTGTTCCGCCGAGACCCGGAATCTTCCGAGAACAGAACAGTGAGTCTTTAACGTGATGGTAACCGTCGTGTCGGAAACCGGATGCGCGCAGAGGATCTGAAATGTCTGGTTCCAAATACGATCTTGTTCTGAGCTTGTTTTAGCAACCTTCTTCTTGTTTATCTTGATAGTCACGTAAGCTGATCTTGGCTTTGTATATATACACTGCGAAAAACATTAACAATATAGCTCATGAGAATTAACACA